AGCTTTCGACGACCTTGAATTTGCACTGCACTTGAAATATGTAATGTTTTTCCCGAATGCGCAGCGAAGGGTTCCCGTTTATAGTTGGGGGTCTGGGGGTTGGAGCTATGTTTGCATGGCTTGCGTCGTCTCGTCGTCTCTCGTCGTCTCTCGTCGTCTGTCGTCGTTTGTCGTCGTCGTCGCGTCTCAAATTCGCTGCCATTGGGGGAAGCTTTTGCAAGTGATTGTTCATGGACGTGTCACGTGTCAGTTTGCGCCGCTATTCCATTGTGATTTGCAGGACCATGACATGTCGCGCAAGAAACGTGATGCATTTCGCTGCACAGGCGCAGCGTTTTGTGAGATCCGCAGATTGCTGCGCAGTTCCATTGGGATTAGCGTTTGGAGAGTCGTGTTTTTGGGGTGTTGGATGTGGCCGTGCCATTGGGATTTGCGTTTCAGGGTGTGGCATCGAAGCTCGGTTTTCGTGACAAGTTTCAGCTGAAATGGCGAGTTTGGTGGATGGGAGTGTGCTCAGAACGGGTCGAAATCATTCCAAACGTGTGGTGTGGTGCAAATTTTGTTGAAGCACTCACATGAGATGATATTGTCACTTTTCGTGGCAGGCGCAGGGCTTTGTGCGGGCTTTGAGGCGTGGAAGTGCGATTCTTGTGGCAGGCGCAGGGAATCGTGAGGTTGCGAGGTGTGACGGAGGTGACATTTCGTGGCAGGCGCAGCACTTTGTGCGCGTTAGACGTGTGGACGCGGAAAGATTCATGGCAGGCGCAGGGAATCGTGAGGTTGTGAGTTGTGGTAGAGGTGAATGTCGCTGTCGCATTGGGATTGGCGTGTGAGCGGATGTTGATTGGAGGGCTGGAATCGCGAAACTGCTTGGCAGGGCTGCGTGATGTGTGTGCTCCGATGGGTGTTTCCGCTTGACGTTTGGAGGAAGTCTCGTACGAAACGCTCGTTTTGCAGACTTTGACGTGTGAGTTTTTGAGGAAGTCTCGTACGAAACGCTTGTTTTGGAAACTTGACGTGCAACCCTCTGCGGAGATCGTGCGTGTCGAGTGCGAAATGCAGGCGAGAGTGCGATTTGTCCCATGCGCGCGCAACCCTCTGCGGAGATCGTGCGTGTCGAGTGCGCGAAATGCAGGCGAGAGTGCGTTGAGTACGCGGGGTATCTGGGGAGCTGGAAGATGAGAACTGGCGACTTTGTAGTACAACTTTAGTACGCGGATCATCTGGGGAGAGCTGGAAGATGAGACCTGGCGACTTTGTAGTACAACTTTAGTACGCGGAGTATCTGGGGAGCTGAAAGATGAGAACTGGCGACTTGGTAGTACAACTTTAGTACGCGGAGTATGTGGGAAGCTGGAAGATGAGCAGTGGCGACTTCGTAGTACAACTTTAGTACGCGGAGTATCTAGGGAGCTGGAAGATGAGAGCTGGTGACTTGGTAGCACAACTTTAGTACGCGGAGCAATCTGTGGAGCTGGAAGCTGAGAACTGGTGACTTTGTAGTACAACTTTAGTACGCGGAGCAATCTGTGGAGCTGGAAGCTGAGAACTGGCGACCTTGTAGTACAACTTTAGTACGCGGAGTATCTGGGGGAGCTGGAAGAGTGTCACACAAGAGTGTCCCACAAGAGTGTCGCGCAACAGTGTCCCACAAGAGTGTCTCACAAGAGTGTCCCTTAAGAGTGTCCTACAAGACTGTCCCACAAGAGTGTCCTACACGAGTGTCCCACAAGAGTGTCCCACAAGAGTGTCCCACAAGAGTGTCCCGCAACAGTGTCGCTCAAGAGTGTCTCACAAGAGTGTCCCTTAAGAGTGTCCGACAAGAGTATCCCACAAGAGTGTCCTACAAGAGTGTCCCACAAGAGTGTCCCACAAGAGTGTCCCACAAGAGTGTCCTACAAGAGTGTCCCACAAGAGTGTCCTACAAGAGTGTCCCACAAGAGTGTCCTACAAGAGTGTCATGTAGGAGTGTCCCACAAGAGTGTCCTGCAAGTGACCCACAAGAGTGTCCTCCTACAAGAGTGTCTCACAAGAGTGTCCCACAAGAGTGTCCTACAAGAGTGTCCCACAAGAGTGTCCCACAAGAGTGTCCTATAAGAGTGTCCCACAAGAGTGTCCCACAAGAGTTTCCTAGAAGAGTGTCACACAAGAGTGGCCCACAAGAGTGTCCCACAAGAGTGTCCTACAAGAGTGTCCTACAAGAGTGTCCCACAAGAGTGTTTTTCAGAGTGACCCACAAGAGTGTCCTACAAGAGTGTCTCACAAGAGAGTGTCTCCAAGTGCGTGGCCACCACCATGACATCTTTTTGGACGCTCATGTAGCCGGGATCTCCCTCCAAATGTCTATTCACAATGCGAATGCATGGTGGAAGATGTGCCTCTCGATTCTGTCTTGCAGCGCTTGCGTTGCTCCTCTCCAGGTCTCGTTCTAAGGCTTCTTTGTCCTGCTTGAGCCTTTGGATCGCAGCTTGCGCAACTGGTTGCCTGCTTCTCAGTTCATTGATTTGGGCCTTCGTATCCTTCACAATACGATCCTGGTTCTTAATCTCCATCCCAAGTTGCTCGGTCCTCTCGACGGTCTGCTTGTGCTCCTGCTTGAGATATGCAATGAGCCGCTCTTCGCATTCCTCAGCGTCGCTGCGTGCAGATCGCCAGAGGTTTTGCAGTGCTTCTGGGCTCATCTCATCGAGAGAAGGTTCATTGCGCTCCGGGGAATCGGGAAAGACGTGATTCCTCGCATACCCTGCCGCGGTCTCTGTGGCACCCGCCGCGCAAAAGGGCTGACTAGGGCAATCTGCGCCGCTTCAGCCTCAGCATCCTTCTTGCGGCAAAACAACTGCTCCACTCAAGAGTGTCCCAGAAGAGTGCCCCACAAGAGTGTCCTACAAGAGTGTCATTTGGACATATGTAGTTTTTCGAACTGCATCAGAACTTGCAGATTGCCAGGGAAGTGGTGTGATAACGTGCGAACCTCTTTGCTGAATTTCTTGCATAGTTTTTTTGAACAATCTCTTGGAAGGGCTGGGGGGCCGCAGGTATCAAGGTGCTTCCACTCCTCCACAAGCACCAGCATCTGCTGGCTTCACTACCGGGACGCAGAGAATATATGCTTCGGGGAGTGGGGCAGTGCATGGCTTACAGATTCCTGCTCGGTTTTCCGTTTTGGAATTCAAAGCGTGCACAGCATTTCTCAGCATCTACATTGTCAGGTATCAGGCGGAGATTGGTTCAGCAGACTTGACAAAGATGGCAGTGGAGCTCTCTCACGCGAGGAGTTCGAGCAGGCTCATTCAAGAACCTCAGAGAAGCCCGGAATGCTTGATCGAGTCGATTTAAGTCCTGACTGCAGTGTCGTCATGCTGCTCAAGCCAAGCAAGAGAAAAGCTCAGATCAACTCGCAAGAGATCCAACTCCGTGCTGACCACACATGGAACCAAATCCTGGTGTCTCTTTAAAGCACTGTAGACGAAATCCTTGTTGGCAACGCCTAGATGCCTCTCTGATTTCATGTGCTCTTGCTTGATCCCACTTTGGATGTGACAAGCCCTCCAGAATCGGCGAGGCTGCAATGACACTTGTCAAAAGGATGCCATTGAGTGTCAGCCAAACTGATTTGAGGTTACAGTGGGATGACAAAGGGGACATGATTGTCTCCTGTTGAATGCAGCATATTGCAGCTATCAGAAAGAAACTACAAGCAAGGTGAAGAATCCCCACTTATCCGCAAAACCTTGAGAAGCCATAGAAGCCACAAAAGCCATCAGCGGGTGTGAGCCGCTCTGTGAGCTTCAGGAAGCGATCCAGGCCGCAGTTGCCTTTGGTCCTTGGAAGCTCCAGCAAATGGCGCCGCGAAGTCTTTAGGCCGGACTTGTCCGAGGAGCTTGTACAGCATGAGCTACTAAAGACTCCATAGAAAAGGATGTAAGATGCTGGGAACAAGAAGCTACTAGTAACAAAGGGCACTAGGGGCTCCTGGCCTTACTACTAGGAACAATGTTCGCTACTAGTAACAAAATCATAGAAAAAGGATGAACAAGACGCCCTGAATCATTCACGCCCATGGCCATGTCTTTTTCCTCCACATGGCTCTCAAGGCGTGAATTCCCGGAGCTGGAGAGTGATTTCATGTCACCAGATATCGATGAGAAGGTTTGGGGTCAGAGTTCAAAAAGTTGCAGAAACACGAACGATTTGAAGACACGCGAGGCCATCCGCGCGACCCGACCTGAAGACATGTGTTTAGCCATAGCCCGAGCCAAGGCAGGGATTGATTGGAATCGAATTGAGTAGCCATTGCTCAGTTGCTCAGTTCTCGATCACTTCTGATCAGTTCGATAGGAGTTGATCAGCGCAGGCTGATGCCTTGCTCCCCAAACTGCAAAAAGAGGTTCTGCTGATTTGCATGGACCAGGCTGGACAGAAATCTAGTTGTTTAGACTAGGGAACATGTTTGAGAGGTGGTGAGCTGCGATGGAGGTGTCCGAGAGAAGCCCGAGAACGAAAAAGAGGCCCGTCACACTTCACACGAGGCTGTTGTGTCACCCTTATAGCCTGCCAGGCTCGTGAGTTTCTGGAGTCCTACAGGCCGGCCATGTCATAGGTCGCTGCAATTTGGTGAAAGAAGAACCTGCCGGAAAGGTGAAGCTTGCATGAGTGAGCTGGGGAGGTGTTGGGTGACCTTGTCCCCCAGATAGCTGAAAGCTGTAGGGGCAGGCCCTGATGGCCACCGGAACTCTGGAGCCAGGCTTTCTTGGAATTTCTCGCCTGGAACCATGGAACTAGGCCTTGACCTCGACTTTTCGCTTGAACCCCTTCGAGCCTTGGAATCTCTACTCTGGTTTCAGGTTTTGCTTGCAACTCTCCGCCCTGAAACCCTGCTACTGTATAAAATTGCTCTGGTCCCTGCCCTTGTCATATAGTCCCCTTTGCTTTTGGTCCTCCTGGTGCAAATTTCTATTGGTTTCTCATGCTGAATTAGGCAAGCCCACTCTTGTGGGTGACTTGGCCCCTGATGCAGGCAAGGAAGCCCGGCCACTTTCATCAACGGAATGGTAGTGCACAACACTGCTACGGGAAGGCTCTTTCTGAATGGAGGAACGGAACCAACTGAACCGACAAATCGACCTACTCCACCCTCTCAAGCTGGAACCTTCACTCCTCCAGGCGCATCTCCTCCCTGAATTCATCGAAGGTCCAGTGGAACGAATTTCCAGATGAGGTGGGAGTTCTTGCTTTGGACAAAGGTCAAAACCCACGGACTGAACAACAGCACAGCGAGATGCAGTAAGGTATATAGGGGCTTCCGTGTTGGTGTTGCTGGACTGGATTGATTCCTTTAATCCACTGAAGTCTTGAGTCTTGAACCATACTGTAGCCGTCATTTCAGTTCTCTGAACACGCCTCTTTTTTTTGCAGGTCATCGACTCTCTCATCATAAAGGGCGAACTATTCACATGTTCTGGTGGCGTGGTGGTTGCGTGCTTAGAGCTGGCAGTTCTTTGGCCCAAGCAGTGGCTGCTGACAGCATTCCTGTTGCTGCTACTTCGCTGTTGTTGCTGTTGTTGTTGTTGTTTTCCTACCCTTCTGTTTTTTTCCTCATTTAGGTGGAAGATGAGAGCCTGCAGCCATACCGACAAAGAGTAGAGGCACCAATGATATTTGGTTATGTTGCATGGGGATATCAATAGCCTTGTATTTTGTTTGGACAGATGGCCGGCTTTGACAGATCCTGCTGCTCTTTGACGAAAGATTAGATGTGGGTTTGTCTTTTCCATGTCGGGAATAGCATTTGAACAGGTTTGGTAGCAGGCCGTACCGTGTTCCAAGCCATCCCGGACCGCTCTGCCAGGGCACACTGGATTCAGTACAGGGTCTTCCTGTAGAGCCACTTCGGCAGCTTTTGCATCGTGCACAAGCTCCAGCAACTTTGCTAAAGGGATATTGGGGACCGATGGGTGTTTGCCACCATGATCCGAATGCACCCTACTCAGTGGCACCCAGTGCATTGTGAGGCTGTAACGCATGTGGTTTTCGACATGGATGGCCTACTGTTGGACACGGAAAGTTGTGCCCTTGGAGCCTTGTGAAGGCCACAGGGAAAGTGATTGGTACATTCTCTGGTGAGCTGCTTACCACATGAGGTGCATATTCTGTTGCCCAACAGGCAATTCTGGACAAGTGGAACAGGCTGGGGGCCTGTTACGAGCCAGGTCACCAGGGGCTGTGAGGGCAGGCTTGGTGCTTGGCTGAGGAAATTTACCTGGGACCTGAAAGCCAAGATGATGGGCAAAAAGGCAATCTTAGAGAGCATATGAGAGAGCATGCGAAAGCTGTGATTTGGTTGAACAAGCAAAGAGCAGAGAGACTGGAAGGGACTCATAAACCTTTAAAGTCAAAAGTTTGGCGACGAAGATGCCACGTGGCTCGAAACCGTTGGTTTGTGATGCTCTTTGCGTAGAGCGTCAAGTAACACCATCCCAAAAGCTGGTTGATCGGCAAAAGTTATCAAAAACACTACTAGATGAAGATGTAGAGTGACTGTAGCTGGAAGATGAGAACTGGACAGATCCGGTCGTTTTGTTGACTTTTCCCTCCTTTGAGGGACTAACAGAAGAGGAGAACATGTAGGACTTTAGCAGCTCTCACAGTAGATTCTCAACTTATCGACCCGCGATCTGCGCTAACGTGACCTCTTCCAGCTGACCTTCAGCAGGCCTGGTTCACGAGCTGAGAAGCTTCAGAAAGAGGGCTTTTGCGGCGAAAAGTCTTTGGTGTTCCAAGTCTTTCTCTTTTTCGTTTCAAGTTCCAAAAGTTCCGAATGACTTGTGTATACCAGAGGCCCATGACCAGCGGCTTCAGTATCGAAGCCTTGGCGACTTTGGACACTCAGAGCCAGGTGGGCGGAATACAAACAAAGAATGAACTGAAAAGCTAGTTGAACAGCTTTTTGTTCTTCTTTATGTACTTACAGTATCACTGTGATCCAATCAGAACACCGAGCATGGATGAAACACTTCTACAAATTGTGAGGAATTGCGCAGTTGTTTTTGTTTGTAACTGTTTTGCTTGTGTACAAGAGACCTGAATAAGGGAAAGAGGCTGAGTTGTCCTGGTAAACATACATGTTTGCTGTTGTTTGCTGTACTGTTGCTCAGGTGCAGCTTGCCGTGCTTCTGGTAGTGCCGTTGTTGGCTGTCGTCGTCTTCTTCTGTTCTGGGCGGTCACTTCCAGGGAAGCTGCGGCCCAGAGGTTCGTTTGAACACGAGGACAGAGCTTTGAGAGGAAAAGAGCGGCGGACGCTGCCTGTTTGTTTTAAATTCAAGGCTGCAGTTTTGACATCAATCATTTCTCCAACTGCGATCAGTAAGAGTTTGCCAGACACCTGTTCAGACAGAAAATCAGAGGCACAACCTATCAGATCTATCCCGCCTCAAACACATTCTCGTTGAAAGTAGGTGTTCCAAGTTGTCTCGAGTATTGCATACATATAAATATAGAGATATATAATCTACAACTTCTAGTTCTTGGAATGTGTCTGGCCATGTTCATCCCACTTAGACCCCCCACTGTTTCAAAAAAGTGCCTTTCTTTGATGTGGGTGCCGACGCTGTCAGCTTGTTGAATTTGCAGTCCCGTAAAGCTGTGGACACTTATGTCTTGTGTGCTGCTTGCGGAGTTCTCGAAGTCAGTTTCAACGTCCAATGTGCCTTGAGCACCTTCTCCAAGTTTCAGCAGTTTCCTGAAAGACTCAAAAGTGGCTATTGAGGAGGATACTTCCACATTTCTTATGTTAAAACTTGAGGTTCCACTGATTAGTGTTTAAGTGTTTTTCTTCGGTCAGGCAGCCTCACCACCCTCATAGGGGCTCCCCGTTGAGCTCTTCTAGTTGGTTTCCTTCTAGCGTCGCCATCACATACTTGGGTGACGCCTGACGTTGGTCTCCAGTCCTTTTTACACCTTGTATCCAGGGCTGCTTGGATGAACCTTCATGTCGTTTTTCTTTGTTGAGGATCCAGCCAATTCTGTCTCCGTGGCTGAACGCCGGCGAGATTTCTGCCGCATCGTGGCCACGAAACGCGCTTGGGAACCCAGAGTGTGATGCATACCGAGCTTGGAAGGAATGAGTTAACCTTTATACACACCGATGTTCTTAATGATGATCTTCAATCTTGACACAATCAGCCGAGGGAAGCTTTATCGTGTTTTAGTGCGACAGAAATCAAATACGCTCACCAATGATTCTTGCAAGATCGCTGGACAAGACCAGGGAAGAAAAAGACCTGCCAAAATGAAGGTGTTTGGTTCGCCTTGATAGGGCCACGTGAAAGGGGTCCTCTCTAAAAGAGGCCTTTTGTGCCGAGGACATTTGGATCTTCACTGTTGCCAGCCGACAACCGGGTGTGCCGTTGCCTGTCGACCTCCCCATGGGCATGGGCCTGGACGGCGGAGACACGGTGGTCGCGGAGAAGGCGGAGAGACGGTCGGGTTGTTCAAGCTTGTTTCCAACTTGTCTCTTTGTATACTACATAATATTTTTTATTCCTTTTCATGCTTTTTCTCTTTCTGTTTTTGGATTTACACCATTCCTCCGTTCTTTCCTCCTGTTCTCCAAAGCTGCTTGCTATTTCTGCCAGGTTTGCTACAACAAACTGAAGTGGTCCGGCCCTTGGAAGTATCAAATTGTATAAAACTTTTGGGTGGTGCAATTGTGCATCTTTTGTGATTCAGGTTCCTACAACAGGAACTGGGCCGAATCCCAGGGGCCATTGATCTTGGTATGACCTCACAGTGGACAGTGGTTGATCGCATCATCTACTTCATCAGTGCCAGTCCAGGCTTTGATTTCGTAATGAGACACAAAGTTCCGCCACGGATCTTGCAGCCCAAGTATCTGATTCTGGTGTCCAATGGCGGTCAAGTGCGCGTGGCTCTATTTGCCTTTGTGAGCAAGCAGGCGGATCCCGGAGCCACAGCAGGCCCCTTTGTGGTGAAGCTAGTGAGTGAAGATTTGCGGTCCGCAGATCGCGACAGCCGCTCTTTTTCCAAGTTCACCTACACCACTAGACCTGCCAGCTGTTCTGACATGGAGAAGATCATCTCTGGCATGGTTCCAGCCATTCTCAAAGGGGTTGATCAGGATAAGTGGGATGCTTTTGAGAGAGCATAGTTAACAAGCTAATGACAGTTTTCAGATTGCAAACTAGTGCAGCCCACAGCAAAGCTGTGACTGAAGGGCACGATTCGGGTGATTGTGGGGAGCCTGAAACCTCTTAAATTGAGGAAGCTTCGTGCTTTGACAAGGACAGAGTCCTTTTGCGTTTTGCCAGAAAACTGAAGAGCTTGAGTGGCAGAGTGGGCTTTGTGAAGTTTGTTGGGCTTGGAGGCCATTGCTAGTAGGTTGGAGGCCATCGCTATTAGGTTGGAGGCCATCACTATATACTGTTTTTTTTCTTCTTGTTAGTCTTTGTGCAGCCGCCTCGAGGCCTTGGATGCTTGTCAGCTTTGCATCGACGAGCTGGGTCTCAGCAGCGAAATCACAGCGCAAGCTTTCTTGGAAGAGCGAGAAAGGAGGACGGGCTTGGTGCACGTACACTCTTCTTCAATGAGCAGACAAGTCGAGGCAACTTCATCATGTATTGACAGTGACACTGATCTCTTACCAAATCAATTGTGTTGCTAGTGTTTTCCAGGCTGGATGTGCTCTTCGCCAAAGCGGCTCTTCTCCCTGGTGTAGAGCGGCTGGTGCGACATCTTCACAAGCATGGGATTCCCATGGCGGTGGCGACCTCATCCCATCGTCGCCACTTTGATCTGAAGACTTCCCTGCACAAAGAGCTCTTTGCGTTGATGAACCACATCGTCACGGGCGATCAGGTGCCAAGGTGTTTGTTGATGACCTGCGTTGAGACGTATTACAGGAAGACAGAGGAAGTGAAACATGACAGACTTGGACAGACTTGCAGATTCTTGCAGAGTCTGTGAGGTATCAAAGTCCAAGCCAAATCCGGAGATCTTCACCCATGCTGCCAGTTTGTTTACTCCGGCAGCACCAGAACAGCAGGTGCTGGTCTTTGAGGACTTGATAGTCCCAGGGGCACGTTCTGCAGTTTCATGTTGCACAATTTTTCAGTTGCATTATTGCACTCATTTGTGGAGCTAAACTTGTCTAAAATTGCTGTAACTCTGGCGAATGGACAAATTGATATTCAGACCTCCCAAGCTACCTTCCCATTCCAAGAGGCTTTTCACAAAAAAGGCCCGGGCCAATCTTGAGAGAGCACTTGACCTTGGCAGGATGCGCCAAGTGGTGTTGAAGCTGGCCTAGCAGCCAGAATGCAGGCGGATTTCTGGGGCAAGGTTTGGATCAAGATTTGGGTTGTCATTGGACAAAACACAATCGGAGATCAGGATGAGGACTGTTGTCATGGATCCTTTAAGAAGAAAGCGCAGAAGATCCGGTTGGTCACTGCAAATGTAGCATCTTGAGTCTGCCAGCCGCAAACCTGCTTTTGCATGTACGGGGACTTGTGTGACTTGTATGTATCTGAATTCCGTGATGAAGCTGCGCCTCAAGGCCGGTCTCAAAGTAAGTTGGGCTGAACTCAACCAGCGTGAGGCAAAAACTATCTCCGTTTCTACTGGCCAGCTACATATTGCAATTCTGGAGTTCCCCACAAAAAACACCTCCCAGGTACCACTTTAAAGGGGAGGCTTAAGCAAGATGCTTTTGCCAGCAAACACACAGTCACGAGAGGGGCACGAAAGATTCACAAAAAGTTAGCTTCGCAAAAGCGCGCAAATGCTGTTCTTCAGTTCACTCCCTCTCTATGAAAGCTTGTGAAAGTCTCGTAAAAGTGGATCTAGACTGAATAGAGCACGGGCAATAGACTTGTGTAGAGGACATCTAGAGGATTCCAGGGGTGCGATTCGATGCAGTTTTTTACGCAGACGACACAATTTTGTTTTCCACGAAGCCACGAGGTGTCAACGAACTCTTGAAACATATCAAGGATTGTTCGGAAAACCACGGATTGCGTATCAACCGGGCCAAGTGCCAATCCATTCATATGAATCGTGGCGCCAACATCCATTTTCGAGACGAGACACCCCTTGTCAAAGCCGAAGAAGCCACCTATTTAGGAAATAACCTGAACCACACAGTGGACCTCAGAAGAGAAGTTTCACAACAAATACAGGACTCCAGGACACAAAGCGCACATGGAATAAACTTTCCCTGTTTGGGAAGGATTCTGCTGCAAATATATAATGGCAACTCCTTATAACTTATATATGCAGTGATCAAAAGCAAGCTCCTATATAGCCGCATATAGCCTTGAGACATTACATTCAACACAGGCCTTGCGAAAGAAAGTGGATGCCGCCCATTTGCGGGGCCTGCTAAAGATTTAAAGCTTTCCACCACTTATGTGGATCGCAGGAACACAAATGCAAGGGTGTATGAGCCTGCCTCTCGTACGGCATACCCAAATGATCCTACCCGATCGGTTCTTCCTTTCACAGAGCTGTACTACGCGCGCCAAATTCAGACCTCGTCAGACAAGTTTCGTAATATGATAGCGCTGAGCCTGTCCATGTTTGGAAAACACAGGGTTGAGCGCCCTCGACAGCAATGGTTGTTTAGAGCCAGCGAAGCTGTTCACAACGGAGACCCTTTCCAAAACACAAGTATTGTTTTAGCGGCCCGACAACGCGAAGTATGACTCCATGCCAAGCGGCTACGTGCTTCTTTTGGTTGCAAGACTGCAACGAAGTGCATCGTAAGGGAAAAAAAGAGCACTCGCAAGCCAACAGCAAGCCAAAAAGTGTCACGAAGGGGTGTGACAAGGTTGGTACCTAGCAATGCTCATTTGTGTTGTGCTTGTTCAGCGTTCTGGCAGATTGTGCTTCAGAAAGTGAAGTCAAGAGTTCCTTGTTCTTTTTCCCGAATGCGTAGCGAAGGGTTCCCGTTTATAGTTGGGGGTCTGGGGGTTGGAGCTATGTTTGCATGGCTTGCGTCGGCTCGTCGTCTCTCGTCGTTTGTCGTCGTCTCTCGTCGTTTGTCGTCGTCGTCGCGTCTCAAATTTGCTGCCATTGGGGGAAGCTTTTGCAAGTGACTTTTCATGGACGTGTCACGTGTCAGTTTGCGCCGCTATTACATTGTGATTTGCAGGACCATGACATGTCGCGCAAGAAACACGATGCATTTCGCTGCACAGGCGCAGCGTTTTGTGAGATCCGCAGTTTGCTGCGCAGTTCCATTGGGATTAGCGTTTGGAGAGTCGTGTTTTTGGGGTGTTGGATGTGGCCGTGCCATTGGGATTTGCGTTTCAGGGTGTGGCATCGAAGCTCGGTTTTCGTGACAAGTCTCAGCTGAAATGGCGATTTTGCTGGATGGGCGTGTGCGCAGAATGGGTGGAAATCATTCCAAACGTGTGGTGTGGTGCAAATTTTCTTGAAGCTCATATGAGATGATATTGTCACTTTTCGTGGCAGGCGCGGGACTTTGTGCAGGTTTTGAGGCGTGGAAGCGCAATTCTCGTGGCAGGCGCAGGGAATCGTGAGGTTGCGAGGTGTGACGGAGGTGACATTTCGTGGCAGGCGCAGTACTTTGTGCGCGTTAGACGTGTGGACGCGGAAAGATTCGTGGCAGGCGCAGGGATTCGTGAGGTTGTGAGTTGTGGTAGAGGTTAATGTCGCTGTCACATTGGGATTGGCGTGTGAGCGGATGTTGTTTGGAGGGGCTGGAATCGCAAAACGGCTCCGTGATGTGTGTGCTCCGATGGATGTTTCCGCTTGACTTTTGGAGGAAGTCTCGTACGAAACGCTCGTTTTGCAGACTTTGACGTGTGAGTTTTTGAGGAAGTCTCGTACGAAACGCTCGTTCTGAAGGCTTGACGCGCAACCCTCTGCGGAGATCGTGCGTGTCGAGTGTGCGAAATGCAGGCGAGAGTGGGATTTGTCCCATGCGCGCGCAACCCTCTGCGGAGATCGTGCGTGTCGAGTGCGCGAAATGCAGGCGAGAGTGCGATTTGTCCCATGCGCGCGCACCACCCTTCTGCGGAGATCGTGCGTGTCGAGTGCGCGAAATGCAGGCGAGAGTGTGATTTGTCCGGTGCCCGCGCACCACCCTCTGCGGAGATCGTGCGTGTCGAGTGCGCGAAATGCAGGCGAGAGTGCGATTTGTCCGGTGCCCGCGCAACCCTCTGCGGAGATCGCGCGTGTCGATCGCGCGAAATGCAGGCGAGCACTGGCGACTTTGTAGTACAACTTTAGTACGCGGAGTATCTGCGAAGCTGGAAGATGAGAACTGGTGACTTGGTAGTACAACCTTAGTACGCGGAGCAATCTGTGGAGCTGGAAGCTGAGAACTGGCGACTTTGTAGTACAACTTTAGTACGCGGAGCAATCTGTGGAGGTGGAAGGTGAGAACTGCGACCTTGTAGTACAACTTTAGTACGCGGAGTGTCTGGGGAGCTGGAAGAGTGTCCCACAAGAGTGTCCCACAAGAGTGTCCTACAAGAGTGTCCCACAAGAGTTTCCTACAAGAGTGTCCCACAAGAGTTTCCTACAAGAGTGTCCCACAAGAGTATCCTACAAGAGTGTCCTACAAGAGTGTCCCACAAGAGTGTCCCACAAGAGTGTCGCGCAAGAGTGTCCCACAAGAGTGTCCCACAAGAGTGCCCCGCAAGAGTGTCGCTCGAGAGTGTCTCACAAGAGTGTCCCTTCAGAGTTTCCCACAAGAGTTTCCCACAAGAGTGTCCTACAAGAGTGTCCTACAAGAGTGTCCCACAAGAGTGTCCTATAAGAGTGTCCCACAAGAGTGTCCCACAAGAGTGGCCTACAAGAGTGTCCCACAAGAGTTTCCTACAAGAGTGTCCCACAACAGTGTCCCACAAGAGTGTCCCACAAGAGTGTCCTACAAGAGTGTCCCACAAGAGTGTCCTACAAGAGTGTCCCACAAGAGCGTCCCGCAAGTGTCGTGTAAGAGTGTCCCACAAGAGTGTCCTACAAGAGTGTCCCACAGAGTTTCCTACAAGAGTGACCCACAAGAGTATCCCACAAGAGTGTCCTACAAGAGTGTCCCACAAGAGTGTCCTGCAAGTGACCCAAAGAAGCGTCCCACAAGAGTGTCGTGTAAGAGTGTCCCACAAGAGTGTCCTGCAAGTGACCCACAAGAGTGTCCTACAAGAGTGTCTCACAAGAGTGTCGCACAAGAGTGTCCTACAAGAGTGTCCCACAAGAGTGTCCCACAAGAGTGCTCCACAAGAGTGTCCCGCAAGAGTGTCCTATAAGAGTGTCCCACTAGAGTGTCCTACAAGAGTGTCCCACAAGAGTTTCCTACAAGAGTGACCCACAAGAGTGTCCTACAAGAGTGTCTCACAAGAGTGTCGCACAAGAGTGTCCTACAAGAGTGTCCCACAAGAGTGTCCCGCAAGAGTGCCCCACAAGAGTGTCCCGCAAGAGTGTCCTATAAGAGTGCCCCACAAGAGTGTCCTACAAGAGTGTCCCACAAGAGTTTCCTACAAGAGTGACCCACAAGAGTGTCCTACAAGAGTGTCCTACAAGAGTGTCCCAGAAGAGTGTCCTGCAAGAGTGTCCCACAAGAGTGTCCCACAAGAGTGTCCGACAAGTGTCCTACAAGAGTGTCATTTGGACATATGTAGTTTTTCGAACGTGTTTGCATTCGGGTTCGTGGGTTCCATCTTGTTTCATGAAGCAGCGCATGTTTCGATTCAGGTTTGCCATGTGCCCGACGCTAATCTCAGCCGGAGCTTGTGTGGAAAGGCTCATTGCGAGCTGCTATCCTTGGAGGACCTCCTGGATTTTCTTCCTGTTGATTTGCTTCTTTCGCTGTGTTCACAGGACTTTCGGCCAGAAGAATGGGGGTTGCCGCCCTTCTAGCGGGGGAAAAGACCGGCATCGGGAGTTGCTGATGAACATTGCATGATTCTGTGTTGAGCTGCTGTTGCTTTTGAGGACTTCTCTTGGTGTTGGGAGACTTGCATATTAACTTGTGATTGATGTATGTGCGCAGTGCGCAGGCGATGCAGTCAGGAGCTCTGAGTCAATCCCTGCCAGTGGGGCCCTCAGTCGAAGTCAGGCCTCGAGTATCCTCGAGTGGTTGTTTTTGTGAGTCAGTGAGCATTCAGTGAGCATGTAGTGATTAGTTCGAACATGTTGATTGGCTGATATTGATGTGGTGAGCAACTCTTCCATGGAAACTCTGGGGTTGACACTGCATTTGGTCATATACTGTATAGCTGGCCTTTGGGCGCCAAGGCACAGCCGGCGAACCAATCAATACGCCAGCAGTGAAGCCGAGTTTCATTGCTTTTGGGGGTTTGAAGCAGCAAGGCCTTCTCCTTCACCAATCTTTGTCCTGTCTAAGGTAGCCATGCAAAATGAAGGAGCAAAAAGTTTCTTCTGTGGCCTTTGCCGAAAAGCTTCTGAGCAACTCAATTGCTTTCTCGATCCTTGTGGACTTGAAGTCCATTTGCGGTCACCATCGGTTCCGCCAAAAGGTATGCATCGGTTGCTGCAGGGAAATGGGGTGACATGTTAGGGCCAAGTGGAACACAAATACATGAGATCATGAGGGATGATGAATGGGTACACTCACCAAAGCTATTTTACGAAAACCGCAGTGTAGGCTGGGCTGAGTTATTTATTGTGAGCGAAGTGAGATTGGAGAAGCTGGGTTTGTGGCAGGAAGCACACACAAATCTCGACAGAGCCGCTTTGTACGAAGCTCATTTCTTGTTCTTCCGGCTTCCTTTCGGAATCTTGCAAGGGCTCTTGGTTGCTAGCACAATCAGTGTCCACAATTTGTCTGTGCACCAGTTGCACGAGTTACTAGGTTCACGCTAACTATATACACTGGCTACACCGCCAACACCTTTTACATCAGTTACACCGATGACACGGGTTACACCAAGTGCCAGATGACTAGAGAGGTCAGCGCAACCAGCTTAACTAGTATAGTCAGCGTACTCAGCATAATGAGTCTCAGTGTTCTCCGTGGAGCCAGCACAAACAGCGTGTCAGAGTAAGCCCAAATCGCCAGAATTGTTAGCGCGCAGTCGCTGCACGGGTAACCGCGTAACTACTAACTAGCACAACCAAGGCATCCAGCTGGGCTGCCAGCGTGATCGCTCACAATAGAATGAATTCCTTCAGGTTCTGTCTTTCCCACGCGCGAAGAGTCGTCTTCCAGGAAGTGCCGTTTTGCAGAATAAAAATTCCCTAGTAGCGTCCTTGCTCCTAGTAGCCATGCCAGGAGCCCCTAGTAGCTTCTTGTTCTTAGTAGTACGGCCAGGAGCCCCTAGTAGCGTCCTTGCTCCTAATTGCATTTTTCTGCGCACGCATTGTTTTGCAGAGTGCTCCTTAAGGCCGTCAGTTCCCAGCACTAGAAAAGATCCCTTCAACAAAGTAACAACGTGTTTTTCACTGTTTTCGGCATTCGTTTGAGGATCCAACCAGGCACTGCCGAGAACAATGTTTCTGGTTGGCCTGCTAAGATTCACATGGCTCTGTTTTCCTGCAGCGGGATCTTGGCTTCTCTTCCTCCCCAGTACGCATCCAAAGTCCCTCTTCTTTGGGGGAGCCTTATTTCGGACTGTCATCAATGTAGAAAAAGACAACAACATATGGGGTTTTGCCAAAACCGAAGCCCCTCCAAGTCCTCTGGCATGAAGCATTTTGGATCGCAGAGAATTGGATGACTGAGCGGTGTGGGTTTCATTGTGCGGCATGTTTGATTGCGCCTTACATAGACAATACAATTTTGAGCAGTCAAAAAGACTTTATTTTTGACATGAAGTCCACTGTACAACGAAGTAGTGCTCCTCTAACCTTCACCATGCAACCTTTTGCCTTTGGCGTTGGCAGGTTTTCGTTTTTTGTTGCTTAGGCCACATACGAGACATAGCTAGCTTTACCCGCTGATGGTCATTATTTCGTCGCCATGCTGGCACTCCCAGCGCCCGGCGATACTGACCAGGTGTAAGTGCTGAGCACTTGCTGAGCAAATTAAATGGTTACTTTGTATGATTTCGACTTATTTGAGAACTCAAAGACTCCGTCTTGGAATGAAAGGGCCAAATTCGGAGGTAAGAAATATCGTCCCCCTTTACTTTCTGGCACAACAAAAAAGTTGTAGCATCTCGTGGTAAGGTGTTCATTGCAACAGGGCAAACTTGTGAATCCTTCAGGACTCCCAAGTCCTTTGCGGCATTTGCCTGCGATCGCCCCCTGGCATGGAGAGCAAATGCGCTCTTGGGTGATGTATGTGACACCTGAGGCGAAGGCTTGAGCCGGCAGGCCATGCTTTCCATGCGGTGCATGAGAAGCCGCTCCTCAAGGCAAGGATAGAAGATCTGAAGCTCTTTGGGGGAGGATAGGTTGGGTGACGGGATCTACCCCCATCAAGAATCATTTAGCAAGGTAAACTAGGGGCAAGGACGCTACTAGCAGCTCCTGGCCATACTACTAGTAACGCTGCACGTAACAAAGGGCATCGCTACTAGGAGCAAGGACGCTACTAGGGAGTGCCCTGAAGCCTGAGTTCCTGGAAGCCAGGGACGGCGCAGTCCCACAGTGCAGAAGGAGAAGGAGGAGAGTGAAGATGACACGCCTTCCGATGCTTGGAGGAGCTGCTCAAAGCTGACCAAATCGAGCTCGAACTTGTGCGTCCTAATGTTCCCAGTTGTTGTTTAGGGAGACTAAAACAATATGACTACACTACCACTCCAATATGATGAACATCTGGATTAGTGATGTCTGGATCAGGTTTCAGTGGCTTGTGTGTCAAACCGCCAAGTTGCGTAGATTGCGAACGTCGTGCGAAAGCGGAAAGACGAGATCAAACAAGGAGGATCAAAACATGGCTTAGGCGGTCCGTGCCACCCTTTTAACACTCCGTCTAAGTCTGAGCTCAAGAGGCGCCCCTGCGGACGAGAACATGAGTACCCCGCACCTGTGGTTCCGTAGACCACTGAGATGTGCTAAGGTTGGTAAAATCGGGCTTCACACATTTCATGAAACACCAATGAAACTCCTCTCAACTTAGCACAGATTCAGTGCTTTTGGAGTTGAAGAGAAGATATCTGTGATCGCTTATCTTAGATAAGCTGTGGCAAAAAGGTTGGTCCAGGCATCATCCATCCAAACTTCTGGCATATCTGCAAAATGCAGGCCTTGTTTCTGCTCTTCTTTCTTCTTTTGTGTTCGCAGTCGTTGCATCTTACGAGCAGAAATGAACTCTTCGTTGAACTTCACTATCCAGCTTTTGTTGGTATGGAACAGTTTCATCTCTCTATATGCATCCATAGAAGCTTTTGTGAGAGAATTAGCTAGGTTGAGGTCTGAAGGCACCCACGTAGCAAAACAGTTTGTACCATCCTGTATTCCTTTCTGGACATGAAGTAGGTCTATTGCAGCCTTAGAGTCTGACATTGACATGGCAAGAGATTCATTGCTCACCAGTAGGTCATAACACCCGCGAGAGTCCATAATCAATAGACTCGTGAACATGGAAGTCAGAGTGTCTGCTTTCCCAAGTCGAAGGGTGTGTCCGTACAGGATTGCAAACATAAGTCTGGTTCTCCAGCCTTTGTCTTCAGCTTCTGCAATTCCTTGAGCTTCTGAGCAGTTCGTCCCTCTGGCAGGACGTCGGAGTTTCCAGGATCTCCAATCAATCAAGGTTACAGGCGTTTCATTGCCCTTCAAGATTTCCGGTGAAGAAATTCCAGAAACAAACCCGCCGGTCGAACCACCTGTCGGTCTGTTGTTGTGTCCAGCATCACCCCAATGCAAGAAAACAAGATCTGTGTATTTCAATCTATTCGTTCTTCCAAAATTGAAATTGTGAAAAACCAGATCTTCCTTTGCAGTCTTACGCATATCCCGAATGATAGAGTTTGCTTCTCTCAAGTTTGCCAGTTTCCCATCCGACAACGTGGAAGAAGCTATGCCAATTCGAGCAGCGTATTGAGGAGCACTCTGCAAAGATCTCCACTGCGCTTTCATCAAAAGCGCTCGAGCTTGCGAAGTTTCCGATGGAGTCATCGGATCTTTGTCACTGCGAGAGCCGTCTGATTGATTTGCCACAGGAGACAAAGAGTTGCAAAAATCTTCTTGCGAGACATGGATGGAGTAGGAAGTGAGTTGGCGAATTCGGCATCCGGCATACACAAAATCACCCTTTTTCCAAGGACTCCATTGATACATACCCTTTATCTTTTCTCTCAAAGCAATCCAAAACTTATTCTTGGGATTTCCTGCCATTAGAAAGTCATCTACTTGACTACCAATTCTGGCAAAAACCGACCCTTCGGGATCACGAAAAACCCAAATGCATCGATCCATGGGATGAGGAATCCCACCGAGCTTTTGGAAATTCAAATCTACATCTTGCCAAAAGATGCGAGGAGCATTGGTAAGGCCATAAATGGCACCCAAGACACGCATCAACTGCCCTGGTTTCAGTCCAAGAGACACTGCAATCTCTGGAACTGCCTTCGTCCACAAGCGCCTATCTTCTTCACAATTAGCAGCTTGCAAAAATGCAGATTTAGCATCGGCAGATTCAATCTCATGTTCATCGAAAGCAAAACACTGAAGGAGAAGGTTTCTCCCTGTGCGTGAAATGGTCGGTGCTGCTGTCTTAAGTTCTGGCTGACCTGTGATTGGATTTCTCTTCACAAGGTCTGGATGTTTAAACCCTAGAAGTACTACCCGAGCTTTAGCTTTACAACTACCGTCTGGCATCACTGAAGTTGGTTTACCTGGAGGCGGAGGTTCAGGAGGTTGAATCGGTTTCCAAGTAAGGACCCATCTCATGGGAATATGGCGTTCAGGATGGCTCAAAGCTTCTTTCAGTTCTTCTTTAGATTGTACTGCGCGAAGTG